TCAATCCAACAAACTCTATGAATGGAACCTAGATGGCTTAAGTGAACAAGAAATACTGAATAAAGTAAATCATATGCCTATGGTTATCAATAGTTATATTAACAATCTTGATTGCATTGAACCAGAAATAGTTGACCTAATCACTTATGGATTCACAGGAACGTTAAAAAGCGGGTGGAATAATTACCTTAATCAAGAACTAAGAAATAGCATCAGGTATGCTGTCGAATTAAACGATGAAAAAAATCCAATCTTTGATGAAAGAATTGGAAGAGCAAAACCAGATGGAATAAATACTCTCATCTACACAATAATCAAACATTTTGTTGGCACACCAAGTAACATAGCATCAAGAATCCATGATCAGCTAAGTAACTTAAGATGTCCAACATTAAGTGATTTCAGATGGTATAAAGATGTATTCATCTCAAGAGTAATGCTCAGAGAAGACTATGAAAATTTTTTCTGGAAAGAAAAGTTCATAAATGACTTACTTAATCTGTTTGCACACAAGATTAGAGAAGCATTAAGTAAACTCAAAGGAATCATTGAATATGATCAGTTAACATATGTTGACAATATTAGTATCATTCAGAAAGAAGGTTTAAGAATGTGTATTGATGTGAAAATCAGTAAACAAATGAAACATCATAGGAAAAAAGCCAAATATGAAATTAGTGATTTTTATGAATAATATGGTCTCCCTTCAGTAGCACTATCTTCTAGATTACACAAACCAATTAAACCTTATAGTAAAAGCAGACACTACTATAAAAGAAGTAAAAAGAATTTCCAAAAGAAAAACACTATGGAAAATCTAGCAAAAAACACATAAAATCTCATAAACATAAAGCTTATAAGAAAGAACAAAGTAAACAAAAAGTTGAATGTTTCAATTGTGGCAAGAAGGGACATATCAGCCAAAAATGTCCATTGAAAAAGAAATTAAAACAATTAAACTTAACCGAAGGAGATAGGAATAAAATCGTAACAATCTTAAAGTTAAGTAACCTTAGTCAAAATGAAGAAAGTTCATATAATTCAAGCAATCCTAATAGTTCTTCAGGTTATCAGTCAATTTGCAGCAATTCAAGTGAACCTGTCATTAAATGAGGTTGCAAAGATAATTGTTGTAAAACAATTAAAGTTTTAACCAAGCAAACTGAGGAAGAACATGTCCTCATTGATCTTATCAGTAAGATTGAAAAACCAGAGTTAAAAGTTAAATATATCAAAAAACTCAAAGATTTGTTTGTCAAGAAGGATATTAAACAATCTTTTAGTGAAAAATAGTTAATCAGTTTTAATAAAACAATGGAAAAATTTAGTAAGGATAAACAGAAAAGAAGAAACCTTACAAGATCTTCAAGTAGAAGTTAACAAATTAAAGCAAGAAATTAAGGAGTTAAAATTGCAGGATAAAAAGCTAGAAGAAGCTTTAAATCTTCTCCAAACAAAAAATAAGTTTGGCAAATCAAGAAGCTCAGTCTCTAGTCAATCTAAAACTAACTTAGATAGCTCACATAGTTCAACAAGAACATGTTTCCAGTGGATACCCACAACCTCCACCTCTAATGTGGAACCCTTGAGTGTAACAAAGCTTCCATCTGACGATGGATGTTCGCAAACAAGTAAGAATGACAATAGGTTAAACTTAATTAACAAATTAAACCTCTAGAAATGACATTCCAAAGTTAAAATCATAATCGATATTGATTATGAAATTGAAGTCGTAACTCTAATAGATACTAGTGCAGATCTGAACTGCATACAAGAAGCGCTTATACCTAAAATTATTACCATAAAACAACTGAAAGACTCAGTTCAGTAAATGATAGTAAAATGAGTTAAATACAACACATACATGATATATATAGTGTGTTGCTCACATGTTTTCTGGTTTGAGTCAATACAAAAATGACAAGAATATCACATCACTACTTAATGAACCCAATATTCTGTGAAAGCTCCATCCACAATGCAAGTGGTTGTCCAGAATCAAGAATCTGCCATTATAAATATGAGAACTAAGCCCTCCCACAACCCCAAATGTTATTAGACACAATGAAGTCCTCTACCATATTACTTCATGTACTCCTCCTCTTACTTGTGCTGTGTTCTTTCACTACATGCGACACGCAGCCTCCGGTTCACCATTTGAAATTGGTCTAGACATGGTCCAACACTTTCTGCCAATCTACTCCATGTGCCACACCAATTCCTGATAACTTCACAATCCATGGTTTATGGTCAACAGCAATAGATGGACACTGCCTAGAAAATTGCAAGACTTCATACAACCAAAATCCAATAGATGTATTATCTCTGTTTCCTTGCACTAACTCCTCTTCCTACACTATTGTGATTCAACTTAATTTGCTTTATTCTCTAGCCATTAATTCTTCGCTTTTTGTTTTATATATGCAGTACCAAGGCATAAGAGGAGATATGGATAAGTATTGGTCAAATATCCAGGGTAAGACACCTAAGCAGAACGAGAACTACTGGTGGTAACAAACACGGTTGTTGTCAAAAAGAGTTCCAACCCCATGATTACTGTATGAAGGTTATCAAACTAAAGAATGACATCAGTCCTCTCAAGATCCTCAGAGATTCAAATATACTTTCGGGTTGGTCCAAGCCTTACACAAAAAATGCCATTTTTAAAGCCTTTGCAAAGGTGATAGGGATCGACAATAAAATTTGGCTTACATGCTACAAAAAGAATGCCCATTTTCTGCATAAGGTGGTATATGTATGCTTTGGACCTAAAGGAAATAGCTCTATCTCGTGCACATGGACAGCTAAAGCAAGGACATGTGGGAAGGGAACTATCCGATTCCCTTGAGGTCGGTTCTTGTGGCCTTTTTCGTTTTCTCTGATCTGTCTCTTAATTTCTTTTGAATTTTTATGATGCTTCTTTTTATCCTTGGTTTAACTTAAAAGCATATAGACACTTGTGAAGAAACACAAATTTCAAATTCGGAAATTGCTTTCTTAGAATAGTGAAAAAAAAATTTCACTAGCCCAAGACTCACAACCGAAGTTGAAGAGCAACGAAGAAATTAGAATATAGCTCCAAAAATGAGGGAAGAAAAAGACCTTTATCATTATGGAGAAATCTAATTTACAAGCTTACAATTAAAGACTTACAAAAGAGAAAGTTGGAACAAGGTTACAATGGTAATTGTTGTTGGTGATTTGTTTTTTGTTGGCTTGGTGATTTGGGGTGGTGGGGAGGTCTATTTATAGGTGATTAGAGAAGGGTCTAGAAGCACAAGGTAGGTAGAGGTTTGGAAGGTTCAAGAATTCTAACTTAGTGGTGAGAAGGTGAAAGTTCTAGATGTTGTTAGAAGGATACAAGGTACAAACATGTTCTACAAAGTTCTAGATACAATAATTACCAAAAGTTTACTTTAAACTTTTAACACTCCCCCTTAAAGTGAACTTTTGAAATAAGTCCGAGCTCTGCACGAAGATTCTCGAATGGTCCCTTGGAGAGAGACTTTGTGAAGATATATGCAATGTTGTACTTGCTCTACACCTCCGATACTTCAATTGTTCCGTCAAGCACCTTCTCACGAATGAAATGATGCTCGATCTCAATATGCTTTGTCCTTGCGTGACACACCGGATTAGTAGCCAACTTTATAGCACTTTGATTGTCAGCAAGAAGGTTTGTAGGTTTATGAATAGGTAAAAACACATCCTCAACAAGCCGATGAAGCCAAGTGCATTCTTGAGCAGCAAGAGTGGAAGCCTTATACTCCGCTTCGGTAGTAGAAAGAGAGACTGAGTCATGTTTTTTACTACAGCAAGAGACACATGCCGAACCACAAGAAAACACATACCTAGAGGTAGATTTTCGATCATTCAAATCACCTCCTAGATCTGCTTCCATGAACCCAAGTAGAGAAAATTCAACCCCTTTCTTATAAAGAAGTCCCATGTCATAAGTAGAATTCACATACTTCAATATCTGCTTTGCTACATCAAGGTCAAATTTTCGTGGCTCTTGCATATAGCGACTAACAAGCCCATCGAAAAATGAAATATCTGGTCTTGTAATAGTCAAATAAATTAGACCACCAACAAGAGCACGATAAGGTCAGGAATCCGGCAAAAGTTTACTTTCATCACGCCTAATTTTAAAGTTAGGCTCAAGAGGAGTGGAACAGTACTTGCTTTTATTTATTCCAAACCTGTCAACAAGTTGCTTGGCATAACCTTCCTGAGATAGAAAAATCCCATCCTTCACCTTTTTCACTTCCAAGCCAAGAATATGACTTAATTCTCCCAAATCTTTCATCTCAAATCGAATAGAGAGTTCAGCTCAAAGCTTTGCAATCTCTAGTTCATTGTTGTCAATAATGATCATGTCATCCGCATATAATAGAACAATCATGTGTAGTGATCCTTGCTTCTTTACAAATAAACTAGAATCTTAGTTAGAAGCAAAATAACCACAAAATTATAAGCTTGGCAATCTTACCGTACCACACCCTTGGAGCTTGTTTAAGACCATAGAGAGCTTTCTTGAGTTTGCACACATAATCTAGGTGAGTTGGAGAAACATAACCAAGGGGTTGCTCCATATAGATTTTCATATCAACCTCGCCATATAGGAAAGCATTTTTTAGATCAAGCGGATATAGCTTCCATCCAAGAGAAGTTGCTAAGGAGATCAAAACTCGAACATATGTTATCTTTGCGACTGGGCTAATAGTCTCTTCATAATCTTCTCCATATACTTGAGAGAAGCCTCTTGCAACAAGCCTTGCTTTGAATCTATCAATGCTCCCATTTGCTTTCTTTTTCAATTTGTACACCCATTTGCAAGACACCAGCTTCACATCCTTGGGCTTTGGCACAAGATCTCAAGTTTCATTTTTTATAAGTGCGTGCATCTCTTCATCCATGGCTTCCTCTCATTCTTTAACACCTTTTGTTTCATCAAAAGAAGAAGGCTCATTTTCAGAAATAGGGCACGCACTAAAGCAATGACAAGTGCTTACCAGATTACCATCTCAATAACGAACTGGCTTATGGCTTGCCTTCCAGACCGAGTCACTTGTGAAGCATTTGTTCCCTCCAAGTTAGCATTCTCCTCTTGCTCCACCACGCTAGAATTAACTTCGCTCCCCCTATCACCAGACTCCCTTAATTCTCAAGAAGAAAGGTTTTTAGACATTACTGGTGATGACAGTGGTGATGAGATACTAGAAGAGGCAGGAGCCAAAGAAGTCACTAGCAAGCTCATTGGCAATTCTTTATGTTCTTTAATTGTTGAAGGATCACCAACAGAGACACCACTAGGGCTATAGTAAGAGGAGATTTCATCAAACACCACATCTTGAGAAACTTTACATTTGCGAGTTTCAGGTTCCGTGCATTTCCACCCTTTTTTCCTTTCATCATAACCGATGAAGATACATTTTCTCGCCTTGGCATCCAATTTGGATCTTTGTGAATCTGGAATATGAACATAGAAAACTGAACCAAAGACCTTGAAGTCTTTCGCATTGGGCTTCTTGTTATACACCATCTCATATGGAGACTTCATATTAATCGGGCTGAGAGGGATCCAATTAATCACATAAGCTGCACAAGCCATACCCTCTGCTCATAGGACTTTGGGTAAATTTTTGGCATACAACCAGCTCTTCCACGTCTCAGTGAGATGCCGAATTTTCCTTTCTTCTATGCCATTTTGCTCAGAAGAGTCAGCACAAGTAAGCTGCCTTTGGATGCCATGCTTCGAGCAAAAGATATTGAACTCCCGAGAAGTATATTCTCCTCCATTATCGGTCCTCAACAGTTTGATCTTTCTTTGGAGCTCACCTTCAACCTTCTCTTTAAATTCCATAAACCTGAAAATCACTTTAGATTTTCTTTCCACAAAATACACCCAAGTAAATCGAGTAAAATCATCAACAAAGACCACCATATAGCGATAACCAGAAAAGGTACACGTACGAGTAGGACCCATCACATCACTATGAATAAGCTCCAATAGTGCCTTATATCTTGTTCGGGATCTATAAAATGGAAGGTGATGTGCCTTACCATATTGACAACACTCACATAGTTCTCCATTACTAAAGGTAGTAATATAAGGCAAACCATCAACCAAATTTTTATTCACCATGACTTTTAACTTATCTATATTTAAGCGTCCCAGTCTAGCATGCCAAAGAGAAGCATTATCATTTGTGTTCATTTTATCAACATAAGAAGTTAAAGCACATAGAACAAATAAATCTTTAACTCTCTTACCAGTATGGACAACATCCCCTTTTACCTTGTTCACATTCCAGAAAAACTGTACCTCGTTAGGCCCGAACAAAACATAGTGATAGGAATCCACCACATTAACCACTGAAAATAGATTCTTTTTCATACCTAGTACATGATACACACTCTTTAGAGTGATAGGATCACCATTGTTGTTGAAGGTGATGGTACCTTCCTCCTCTACCGGATGAACTATATTATCAGTACCTTCATAATTTTGAAGACAAGAAAACTTGGAGTCATCGTCGGTAAGATGATGACCGCAATCGCAGTCCACGATCCAATATTCCTTGAAGTTGATGTTAGCACAAGCATTAACTGAGGTAGTTTCCGCTGAGAAACAACTAACCCAATTTTCTTCGACCTCGTTATTTTCATAAGCTACATTGCCATCCTACAACTTTACTCATCAATTTTTCCTGATGTGCCCAGTCTTATGACAACGGTAACATTTGATACCGTTTTTATTGCCATTCTCGATCCTTAATGGCTCTCCATCTCCATCTCCATCTTCCCTTTTCTCCTTCTCTTTCTCCTTTTTGTAAAATTTCTTCTTTCCGAAGAACAAGGCATCACCTTGAGAAGATAAAGAAACCCCCGCCATTTGTTGCGCTAGAGACTCTTGAGAAGAAAGAAGATTCTCAAACTCAACAAGGGATGGTTCTTGAGCCCACCCTTGAATAGAAGTAACGAAAGGAATGTACTCCTTTTTCAATCCACAAATAATCTTCTGTTTCATTCCCGCTTCCGAGATAGGTTCCTCCAGATCAAGAGAAGAAATTTCTAAACAAAGATTTTTAATTTTCAAGAAAAAATTGAGAGATAGAGAGATCACCTAGAGTAGTATTCGCCAACTCATTCTCCAAATATTGTAGCTGGACAACATATTTCTTGTTGAACAACCCATTAAGGGTATTCCATATCTCAGATGCCGACTTACACCCAACTATATGATCAACAAATCATGAGAGATAGATCTCTTCAACACGAACTCCACCTTTGTATTGGAAGTCCTCCACTTCTTTACAACATCAGCATTGGCATTATCTTTCGTGGGTGTTGGAGCCACCTTATCATCTCCACCAACAACCTCCCACAAATCTTCTCCAAGAAGATAAGACTTCATGCATGACCTCCATACCTTATAATTAGATTGATTGATTGCCTCAATCCCAAGGCCAACAACCCTTCTACTTGAATCCATTTTTGGAACGCCAACGAACTTCTTCACCAAGAGTGCCTTGACAAGATTCCAACTTTACACTCTTATATCTCTGATACCATGTGAAGAAAGACAAATTTTAAATTCTAAAAATTGCTTTCTTAGAATAATGAAAAATAAATTTTCATTAGCCCAAGACTCACAACCGAAGTTGAAGAAGAACGAAGAAATTAGAATATAGCTCCAAAAATGAGGGAAGAAATTTTTTTTAATATTATGCAAAAATCTAAGTTACAAGCTTACAATCAAAGACTTACAAAAGAGAAAGTAGAAACAAGCTTGCAATGGTAATTGTTGTTGGTGATTTGTTTTTGGTTGGCTTGGTGATTTGGGGTGGTGGGGGATCTATATATAGGTGACTAGAGAAGGGTCTAGAAGCTCAAGGTAGGTGGAGGTTTGAAAGGTCCAAGAATTCTAACTTAGTGCTGAGAATGTGAAGGTTCTAGATGTTGGTAGAAGGATACAAGGTGCAAACATTTTCTACAAGGTTCTAGATATAATAATTACCAAAAGTTTACTTTAAACTTTTAACTAACATGTATTATATTTTATTTTGGCAAGGTCCATGCTACTCGAAGACTTGAAAGAATAGGTTCACAGTTCGATCATCACAATTACACTGGTGAATCTATGGTGAAATAAAAAATAGACTGATTGTGCGTTCAAAATCAGTATTAAAGTACTTCTGCTGTAACATTCCTATTTACCACATATATATACAAAACTATTATTATTTTATGCTGCTCTATATATGTGCCATTAGGATACACTTCGATGAAGTTCTAGCTAGGATAATGAAGTTGCAAGTTTGACAACTCAGTACTCCGCATAATGTCCTTAAGCCATTCCAATACTTATCCAAGCATTCGGTCATCCTAAAATTGGTTAACAATGGAATTTTGACTGATATAGAGTGTCACGGGCCGTCAATTTTGTGGATTCTAATTTTTCAAAACATACATTATAATGTCCTGGAATGATTGAACAACACCTCCCCCACCACACCCCCTATACAGTGTCATGGGCCGTCAATTTTGTGGATTCTAATTTTTCAAAACATTTATTACAATGTCCTAAAAAGACTAAACAACACCTCTCCCACCCCACCCCACCCCCCTCCCCCCAAAAAAAAACCCAAGAAAGTCCGAATTAAACATCAGGCCATTCCTTCCTAGGATCCCAGATCATAAAGAGATCATGAAAAATAGTAGATTCAGAACAGTACAAGATTTAGCGCCAAGTCTTGGATTATTTGCCAAATCAAAAACAAGAATAATCATATTTACATGTACTATTGAGAACTATGAACTGCAATCAACTTATAAACTATGATTCAAAGGATATACGTATAACGTTTTGAATCCAATTACCATGAAAAGTTTGTTCATTATACAAAAGGTTATGCCTCCGGAATAATCTACTGCACCACTTTATAGTATATATAGTGATAATAATTCAATTTATCTTGAGAATATTCAAGTTATTTTCGGTAGTAAGGCATGTTGAGTGAAAGCAATCAAAATATGCCAAAGCATAGTTGCAGTTCTATGGAAAGCCAATAATCATACAATAAGATTCTAAAGGAGATTGGAAAAAGTCTAATTATAATTTTATGTTGTTACTAAACATGCATAGACTTCCTAGAAGTTTATTTATTATTAAAAATAAAGGAAAAATTAAAATTTGAGTTATATGAGTTGGTAGAAATAAAATATTTATCATGGTAATAGAATGTGCTTAATTGTTAATGGGGTGGGTTTAATTTTATGTTATAGTCTTTAATGGGGTATGAATAGATATTTATAAGGGGTGAGAATAACCCCGTCCTTTTGGAGAAGGCTAGAATAGCTAAACATATATTGAGAATATGAAAAATTATGCATTTTACAACAGCTCAAACCCATGTTTTTATTGTGTGAAGGATAAAATAACGTTTTCCCAATTTATTTAACATATGTTATATTCAAAATGATGTCCCAAAATCCTGTACATTGAATATTTAGTGGAAGTTAGTAGACCCTACCGATCTAACCTTCCACTCTGATTTGGGATACAAAATTTAATTAATGATTTAGTAAGCATAATATTGCTCTTATATAAATATCTTATGAGTTTCAAAAATATAATACAAATCTCATGACTTTTAACAAATAACAAAGATACTCTTGTGAGAAATAATAGTAGAAGAGATTTGGATACCATGTGAAAAATCACCATATCATACACCTAATTTCACCCAATTTACCATACACTTCAGTGATTAAGGAAAATGCTAACAAATATCAGGGAGTGTCTCGGATACCAAACACAATTATAGGATTATCGATGTCATGTCTTAAATAATAGGTCTAGTCCATATTATCTTATCAATTTCATGATAGTGTGTATGTCGCCTTTTCGATAGTGTGAATGTTGTAAACTTGTAAGTCTGTTTGAATAATGTTACACTGACTAAATTTTAGAATCAAATTTAAAGTTCAAATGACATGACAGCTGACTATTTGAAATTTTTATTGGGATCCAAATAACATGAGACCAAATAAAGAAACTCAAGTCAATTGTCATATCATTTGGTCACAAAATTTTGTCAATGTAGCATTACCCAATTTGTTTACTGCAAGTGAATGCATTAATTCGGTTAAATTATGAGCAATGCTATATGAATTTAAAAATAAACTTAAAAATTAGACTTAATAATTACGATCATTGATTTTACTATAGGTCTCAATATTATTTGGGACTCACTACATATTCAATGATTGAGATTATTAACTCTAATTTTTAAGTCTATCTAGCATTACTCATTCAATTATATCTCTGCTTACAACTTAAAGGTTAAGCAATGTATTAATTCAACAATAATACTATAATGACCAAATTTTGGGACTAAATTTAGAATCCAAATGACATGGCAGCTGGCTTAAACTTCTTTATTTAATGTCATATCATTTGGGTCCTAATAAAAATAAATTTTATGACCAAATTTAGAATCCAAATAACACGAGAGTATAAAATGCTAATAATATTAGTCAGTTGTCATATTATTTGGACTCCAAATTTGATCTTAAAATTTGGTCTGTGCAGCATTCCTCTTCTTTCTATTAACTAGCAGCTGCTCCAGACATCAAAAAGAACTCACAAACCCCCTTCTCTCTCTCACACACACACACAGAAGAGAAGACCCATCTTACTCACACAATCAAATGGGCCAAATGGAGAGCAAAAGTGGGTATTTGGCAGAAGATGTGTTGATCGAGATATTGTCAAGAATGTCTGTGAAATCTCTGTTTTAATTCAGGTGTTAGTAAATTTTGGAAAAATCTGATTGATAGTCCCACTTTCATTTCCATTCATTTACAACACAATAACGACAACAAGGACAATGCCCATATGGTGGTATACTATCACAATGAGCTTAGGGACTTGGGGGACATCGTCTTGTTCCCGGACAAAACGTTTACAGTGCCCACATATCACAATATGGGTATATCCATCCCCGTATTTAATCGGCTTGGTGGTCCTATTAATGGTGTTTTTTTCCTATGTGACAGACATGAACGCATTGCTTTGTGGAATCCCGCGACAAGAGCATTCAGGGCTCTGCCATTGTGGCGCACGAAATTGTTTCCGCATGATTGGATCCCTTGTCACTGCGGCTTTGGATTCGGATTTGATCCCACCAGTGATGATTACAAGGTAGTTTGGATTCGGACTTTTGATGATGGGAACATCGATAAATGGGACCCATGGATGGATCCCATACATGTTGCTGTGTACACTTTGAGCACAGATTCATGGAAAGATTTCAAGGGTGATGCTCCCGATTGTCTGCGTTTTTTGATAGATTCTTGCTTCGATTCCTACTTGAATGGTGTTTATTACTGGTGGTCTAAATTTTACATAGAAAGCTGGTTTCGTTTGACATGGGGAAAGAGGACTTCAAAGAGATTCAAGGGCCACCTGATCTTCACCAAGACTCAGAATGCGAGATTCTTACGTTGTACAACGGCACTATTGCGCTGATTTATTCTCATTCACGAGTGCCACTAGATGCCTGGGAATCAGCTGAGCAGTCATCAGTTACCGTGTGGGTACTGATGGAGGAGGAGGACAGATGGGATGTTGGATCAAGCAATTGAGTATCAGACCGCTAGATGGAATGATGATTCCAGCTGGGCTGTGGAAGAATGATGAGGTCTTTCTTGAAACTACAACTGGCCACCTGGTCTTGTATGATCCTAATACCCAACTTGTTCTTAAGTATCTCCAAATCTTAGCCCATAGTTCTCGTTGCCTTGACGTCCATATCTACACTGAAAGCCTTGTTTCAATCCACAGGAATGGTGAGCCAGGAGAACATAAAAATCCATCGGGTGTCATTAAATTACCCCGATCCTTTCTCTATCAACCTCCATACTTAGGACCAAGCAAAAAAACAGAAGAAAAAGAAAAACCTCCATGCTTAGGAAAAGACTACCGAATCAAATACAACTTTTTTTTCTCATGTCGCAAATGATTCAGATTATGATTCAGTGATGTTGATTAGAATTGTTTGCAACATTGTGAATCAATAGTAACTGTAAGAGGTAAAAATTGATGATACCTCTCACAAAATATTGGATTCGATATTTCTGATAAAGAATATTTCTAAACTTGATCTCCCAATCTTCTTATTCTGCAAAACGAACAAACTGTCCAAGATCGAAGTGATTTGATCGAAAACACTCTGATGCTTAAGTCAGTAATGGAACTGAGACAAATGCAAGAAATCAAAGAGAGTTCAACGTACCTTTCACCTTGACTCCTTTTGTTTTTTATAAACCCTGTTCAGTTAGGATTTCTTTAAATTTCGATTCAAGGTGACACACCTTGCTTCCATTTAGCTATTCAGTTTGGAAAACAACTGAAATCTCTCTGGCAATTCCCTTGGCTTAGAATCAAGCTCATTAGTTCAACCAGAATGCCTGAATTGTAGACATCTTTTTAGTACCACGTTTACTGTTTTAAACAGCTTGGTCGTATCTTATCTTCTGCTTGGCCGAGACAACATAGTTGTCTGTTCGGTCGAGTTTTATCTTCTACTAGGTCGGTCCAATATCAGCTCAGCCCGGATAGCCTAGTTACTTTATCTGCTCGGCCGGATAGCCAAGCTACTTGCTCTGCTCGGCTCGGAAGCCTAACTATCTGTTCGATCGAGTTTTATCCTTTGCTAGGTCATAGTAGAGTCATTGCAAATAACTCTTTTCAGCATGCGCCACGTGTCCAAATCTAATTGTCAGATAATGATCAAAATTTATCGACCCCTTCAGTAACCTATCAGCACCAATCTTAAATTTTGTTAACCCGATTGAGTCATAATTTTGATCCAAATGAGTTGTAATTTGGCATAATTGAATTGCAACTATATCTTTTTTTCATTATGGTACTAACTTTCGATTCATTTTAGATTGTGGTAAATTTTGATTTGAGTTGAACAGTCATGTTGCGCTTGAATTATTCAAAACTTACCAATAATTGTAGTATTCTATAGATTGACAAATACGTAAATTCTATCAAATATGGTCACAGCCCGTTCCTCTAACTAAAAGTGTATTTAAGGTAATTAATAAAACTCTTATACCAAACCATGGACAGTTTGGATCTAAAGATTTCTTATCATTATATATGCATTCAACTTTGCACACACCGATCATATGCTTAGCCTTTACGATTCATAATCTAACTGTCATTAACACAAAAAATAGGTTCCTCAGAGTGCACTAGAAGTTTGATATTGGGAAAATATCGTAATTCGTCTCTAAACTTTGGTGTATAAACTATTAATTTCATCTATTTTCATTATTAGATAAATCAAATGTTGGCCCAATCTGCCTCATTTCAGCATTGATCTAATGGTGAAAATCGACAAAATAACTTAATTGAGACAAAATTTTTAATTGAGGAACTAAATTCAGATTATTAAAAATTCAAGAATCAAATTAAAACCAGAGGTAAAATTCAAGAACCAACTATGACATTTAATCTTTAATATAGTATCATGATTTCCTCAAAATGTGCAACATATTGGAGTTACATATATCATCGTGAATTTCTCACAATGTCCATTAAGCTAATACCACAAAGCCCATATAACTGATGAGAGCAACAACGTCGCGTCACATTATAGACCCTACTTACACAAGCACGAGTTTACATAAAACAATTCAATACACACGTACCAATAGTTCACAGTACAGATACATGTTGGTTCAAAAGTAGGTACAACTTCATATACGCATAATTTGCTAACTGATAAGTAACCAAGAATCCACTTCAAGAGTATTGATTTTGAATAGCGGATAATTAATAAAAATAATACTTGTTGGAAGATAGAAATTTAAAGACGGGAAAACAATAAAATATAACACTAAGATATAACATGGTTCAATAAAACATACCCAACTTGGTATACCGTACCTACATCTATGGACCAAAAATCTACATCGATATATTATTCATTGAAAAACTGGTCGCGTGATTAATACACCTATTCATGGTATATTAAAACTCTCACATGTCCAATATGTCTATTCATGGTATATTAAAACTCTATCAATATAATTTTATTCCATATAGGATTCTCAAATTAATTGTCCGAGAAACTATCTTTCATAACAATTATAGAGTTTAGGTCAAATTCCAACAAAGAAAGCATAAGAACTGTGCTCCCTTCTCATCTTGTATAGGGACTACAATATTTATTAGTGTTGAATTATCGCCTATAAGAAAAGTATTTTGGGACCATGATTTTGTTCTTTTTAAGAATTTGCTCCCCCTAATTTTTTAAAACTTTGTATAGTGGTAAAAAAAAAACTTTTTATTTTGTTAGTTACTAGTCCATTGACCTTCTAAAATCAATGTTTATTCTCAAATCGAGTAAGACATATGAAAAATATAATAATGACCAATGACATTACATCTCTTCTATTTGATGAATTATCGTTCCTTTTTTTTTTAAACAGTTGTACAAGTGCTCTCAAATAATTTTTTGTAAGTTAATAGATGGTGCTCTAATCCAAAAGTCTTTTTTGATTTTTCAACAAAACAGAGTATGATCTTTAACTAAGTGTCACAAAAAATTTAGGATAATTTTTTCATGGAATTGTGAGTGAGATTTGAAAGAATATTTTGTTTCACTTTCATAAATTATTGGGTTAAAATACCTTTTGAAATTTTTTTTGTATCAATTTTATTCATTTTATTTTTTAGAAACAAAAAGGAGTTGGTTTTACAATTTTGCTATTTAGTCTTAAATATTGATATATTTTGTTGGACCTAAAATTTTATTATATAAATGGGTGAATTTTTCTAGTAGTATCCCCCCCCCCCCCCCAACAAAAAAAAAAACCAATAGACCTGGCTACGCCCCCGCCAATAAAATTCAATTTCTTTGCAAAGAATTTCATGCATCCGTTAAATGGAATGTTGAAGTCACTCACGGTGAAAATTCTTTAAAACAAGGGACCCAATAACCCCATGCCTCAATAGATGCGAGCACCATGGCCAAGCTTGCGGTCCTTCACCCCAGGGAACACACAATCCTCACTTAATCAGTTCCATATTTCTAAATTTCTCAAGGCAAATTTCCATTCCAAACCTATACGGTTTATCTCACGAGGTTGCAAAAATAAAAATGGAAGTACACTTCAATAGTTTATCACTCTTTATTTTTCTACATCCCAGCCAAAAGCCTATTTATGATCTACTGCACTGTTGAAGGACATTTATCTATTTTAATGGGTCCTTAAATGTGCTTGTTGATAGAAGGCGGCGGTGGCGGCTCAAACTCAACAACTGCGTCACCCGACAAAGAAAATTTGGTATCGGTGTGGGCTGTTGGTGGTGCTGCTATTGATTGTCGCCAGAGAGGCACCGAATCTGTGTCAAATCTAGACCATGCGAGTTGCTATATACTAATGGAGAGAGATATGTGATGGATTTTTTTATAAAACTTCAGGAATGCAAAGGAAGAACACAAGGAGCTTTGAAGATATGCTTTTGAATTGTGGAAAAAGTTAAATATATGTGTTTGTGTGTTAAAATCACTCATAAATAAATTGCACCTCAAAAAGAAATTATATAAATTATGGATGGAAGAAGGAATAAATTTATTTGATCATCTCAATGTTGTCAATAAAATTATTACTCAGTTAATTAATGTTGAGGTGGCAGTTGGAGAAAAGAATAAGGCTATTGTTCTATTGACTTTTCTTCTACACTCTTATGATGCACTTGTGACTACACTTTTAGTTGCAACAAATACTCTCAATGTTGATGAGGTGATAATTGTTCTTTTGGAGACTGAGGTATTCAAGAAATCAGGAAATAATTTTCATGTAGAAGGGCTGGTGGCCAAAAGTGAATTGAGTCAACAAGCAGAAGCAAGAACCAAAAGGACCCTAGAAATAGAGGGAGGTCTCAATCCAAATCAAGAGGAGGAGTAGCGAAAAATACAAGTGTTACTACTGCCACAAAGAAGGGCACTTGAGAAGGGACTACATTCAACAAAAGCGAGATGTGGAGGGAAAAAGAAAATCTCCTAATTCAGATCAAGCGGACATTGCATAAGATAGCTCGAACGGCAATAGTGATTTATTATCGGTCAGCACTAGTACGAATTATCTTGTTGAGAAATGGATTTTGGATTCAGAATGTTCTTATTACATGTGTCCTTATAAAGAATGGTTTGATACTTATAAACCTTATAATGGAGGAACAATTCTAATGAGAAATGATTCAGTTTGCATGACCATTGGAATTGGGACCATTAAAATTAAAATATTTGATGGTATAGTGAGAACACTAGGTGGTGTGTGGCATGTCTCTGATCTGAAAAAGAATTTAATTTCCTTGGGTACACTCGATTCTAATGATTTCGCCTTCACGGCAACAGGTGGGGTTCTAAAAGTTGTAAAAAGGGTCATGGTTGTCATGAAGAGAAAACGACAAGTAAATTTTTATACACTGGTAGGGAGTACTGTTATAAATGGAACAGCTATGACCACTTCTTTGGATTCGAGTACTAATGACACTACTTTGTATCATTTACGCCTTAGCCATAAGAGAAAGAAAGGTCTGAACTTCACAGACACAGTTTGCT